CAATGTTGGTCGCATCGGATACTTGCAAGCCACAAGAATTTAATAGTAAACACCATTTGTTTTTTATTGATAAATTATCGCGTAAAGTCTCAAAACTCCTCTCAAGATGCACCATCTTCTTGTTTAAACATTTGATATCTTGAATGTTTTGATAACAAACCTGAAAACAGGTTGATATCTCCTTCAAAAATTCAACAGCAACATCGATACTTTTTTGAGTTTTCTTGGCGTGATAAAATATCGCTCTTGCCGCCCTGGACTCCATCGTCTCGCTCTCTGCAAGACCAACGGTATTAAGAACCTTGCGAAAAAATGCTTGACCACGTTCAGAAAAAATCCAGTTTAAGTTTTGTGGATTTGTGAGGCAAGGTATTGGTGTATTTTCCTCTTCCAAATCCAACAATTCGCTCATGCTCCAGTTTGCAGAACGTGGCACTAGCGCACCCGAGGGCAATTTCTTGTTGCAATTTTAGCGCACCTAGCCTAAATGTTCCTCGTGCCTTAGCTACCAGGGTGCACTTGACATGTATAATGATGTAGGGTGTCTATACAAGTAAGCTATTACAGACCACATGACTTGAAATGGGTTAATTTACATACAAGCTTAGGAGGTCTATTACAGAGGGTCCTGAAGGGGGGGTCCCAATCCCATTTCCCACCTGAAATTTTGGCAAAATCCCAGTCCCAGTTGGATTTTTATTAGAAATCCCAGTCCGAGTTATTGAAATCACAGTCAATAAAAAACCCTTTATTTATTGGTAGATAAACAGTTTTAAGACTTTTTAAACCACTGTGTGTGCAAGTGGCGGACACTTTATGAAACATCGGGGGGCTTGTGCCGAAGGCACAGAAAATTTTTAAATTTGAATCCCGGAAATGGCATTTGCAGCATTCTGAGACACGCATAATCAGAAAACCTAGAATTCTGGGCGCCAGAGTATGCCTGTTCGCAGGTAGTGCTGTGAATAATATAGTTAACAACAAAAATCATGACCAAAGACACCGAAAACGGATCAAAATTGTATTTTAAAACACTTAAAATGTAGAAAAATTGGGAATCGACTCGCATTACCTCAATCCCATTCCCATTTTTGAGGACTTCATTTCTCATTCCCAGTGACCAAATCCCAGTCCCAGTAACCCAAATCCCATTTTCCCAGTCTAAAATTAGATCAATCCCAGTTCCCATTTTACCCCTTCAGGGCCCTCATTACACTGGTACCTCTTCCTCTTATTTTTAAACACTTGAAACATGATACACTTTGTCCGTATCCTTCTTTTTCTTCATCTTCATCCCTTTCCCCACATATAAGATGAACAAATTCGCTGCATAACTTACATTTGTGTCCTGTTCCTACCTCTTTATCGCAAACTGCACATGTTACTTCTATAGCTTCCGCCATTTTCCTTCAGGAAAAAATTGGCGCGAAAATATCAAATCAGCTTACGCAATACGCATTCTTCAACTCAGGTTACTGCTCAGTGGGTTACTGTCTAGCGCGTATTTGGCCACGCGAGAAAAGATATACAAAAGAGTGGACCGTGGGGGGAAAGACAAGAGATAAGCCGCTGATAAATTGTAATTTACTATTTCCCAGCCGGCGGACCGGCGGTGACACACCTTGTCACAAAAAATTCGCACCTACAGCATTTTTTACAATTTTTCAGGTGCGCACCTGACAGTTTGAAGCGCACCTGCACTTGAAATTCTTGGTATATCGCACCCGAGATCTCGTCGAAATGTGCCACGTTCTGCAAACTGGCAGTCATGCTCATGCTATCCGCCATTTTATTTACATTAATTAATATCTACGGGGGGGTACGCGCATCACACATAGATCAGGGGCGCCGTAGCCGTTTCCTCGCCCGTGTTTTACTACGCCCTGGTAAAACCTATCATTTTTAGTTGCTGTTTAATTATGCAAGTTTACTATGTATTGTTTAATCGGTTTAAATGTTAGAATTTTCTTCTTTAAACTTTAATGTTGTCGTCACTACATCTGGAAAACCACGTAAGAACAAATTAAAAGTATTTTAAAAGAGACCAGGTTGTTTGAAAATCCTAAACGAAGCTAAAAATCGTCAAAACATTCTGGTGTCTGAGCCACAGTGTCATCGAATTGCGATGTAATGTAAACAGAAATTATAGCAAGTTGATGTCAGTCAGCTTAGATGGTCAAGCCAAAATTATATCGCATTTGAAGTTTCAAACTGAGTTAAAAATAGTGGAAGAAAAGCCGTAATTATACTTATTGTTACAATCCATTTAATAAAATGCAACATTTGTTTGTTTTAATGAAAAAATCAGTTATTTTCATGAGAACGATTTGTTATTCCATCTCAATTTTTTAATCTCCAATCGCAATAACGTAAAGTATTATTACCCGCGAACCAATGAGTCAAATTTAAAAAACAACCCACTGTTAGAAAGCTGAATGGCTACGCTTTAAAATGAATGTAAACTTTAACGTTTTCGTCTATTATTTGTTTAGCAATTTACATTTCAGTCGAGGATTGCGCTTTTTTTTATACATCCTGTAGACCATGACAGCTTTTTGAAACTGGCGCTGGGATGATATTTTTTCCAGCCAAGTTTCTCAATTAAAACATCAGCATTAGTGTCATAACTGGAGAATGTTAGTACTGTCGCTGCACGATTTTGTAGTTTTTGAAGTTTTTCAGCTAGGGTTTTGTTGCAATTGTCCCAAACTGTGCAACAGTAATTGAAATTTGGCTGAACCAAGGAATTAACTCAGAGATCCCAAGGATAGTGCAAAGTTGATATGACAAATGATAATTAAGATTTACGTTGATTCGCATAATGATTAATGTATGAACTGATAGGATTGATGCATCTACAGGGTGTATAAAAAAAAACTGAACAGATTTAAAATTTAATTGTTTTTGTTTGTGGAAACACCACGTAAATTTATTACTGCAGTAATAAATTTACGTGGTGTTTCCACAAACAAAAACAATTATATTTTATCGCCATGCAAACATTCAAAGATTTAAAATTGCTCTCAATTTCGAAAAACACCTATTTGTATCTGGTTTTTTATATATATAGCTTCTTTGGGTACTTATAATGTAAAATAATGAAAAAAATTTCTCGAACTCAAATTTTGTGAACCAGGGGGGTGTGTCTTTTCCAACAAACTAAAAATGGCTCGCGCACAAAATTTAAAAGCTGCAATCATATTTTGAGTTAACAGATGGAAAATTTGTCGGGATTTTAATTACTGTACAAAATTTCAGACAATTTGGTTTAGTTTAAGCCCCTTAACTATTCACGCAAAGTTACAATTTTCCCGAAAAATCAGCTATTTGCATGCTTAATTAATGCATTTGCCTAATTTGCATATGTCAGCAATATGCAAATTAGGTAAAGGCATTAATTAAGCATGCGAAAGGCTGACTTTTTAGAACAAAATGAATAGTTAAAGGGCTTAAACTAAACCAAATTGTCTGAAATTTTGTACAGTAATTAAAAACCCGACAAATTTTCAATCTATCAACTCAAAATATTATTACAGCTTTTAAATTTTGTGCGCGAGCCATTTTTAGTTTGTTGGAAAAGATACACCCCCCTGGTTCACAAAATTTGAGTTCGAGAAATTTTTTTCATTATTTTACATTATAAGTACCCAGTGAAGCTATATACATAAAAAACAGATACAAATAGGTTTTTTTGCGAAATTGAGAGGAATTTCAAATCTGTTCAGTTTTTTTTTGATACACCCTGTATATATATATATATATATATATATATATATATATATATATATATATATATATATATATATATATATATATATATATATATATATATAAAATATTCTCCGAAAGTCTATATTTTTGCTCTTCGACGCGAAAATGGCAACTCAAGAAGAAATGAGCCGCTATTTTTGGTCAGCGTCGACAAATTGCCCACCTGTTGGGATTATCATTTTTTATCATTTTCATAATTTCCCCAGGAGGTTGGACAGCAGGCCGCAAAGCATCATGGGTATTGAGCGCCTAATTCCGCGCGTGACTTCATTGACTGTTGACCCTGCTGTTGACGGTCGAGGAGTGAACATCTCTCTGACTAAACCAATATGGAAGCTTTCGAACGACAAGAGTGTCAGGCTGCGATACTTTGTGAAAAGAAACAGCATGTTATTGCTGTATTGTTGCGATCATCATTATGACTTGTGTTTTACTATATCAAGTTTACCTTTTTAAATTTAAATTGCATGGGACGTGCTGTCATTTTAGCTTTATAAATAATCCGTCTGAGAAAAGGAATTGTGTTTAATTTTATATTCCCAATAGCGAGGCTCTTCTTTCTAAGTTGGATGGCGTTAAATCTCCGTGTATCATCAACGTGAAAACAAGCGCAGTATTTAAGGTTGGTATACTACAATGCATTACAGTTATCTTGTTATTTTATAGTCAAATTTCCGCTTTGTTGTTTTTATTCTTGTACTGTACTGTACTGTACTGTACTGTAATTTCAGAAATACACTGCACAAAATTATAGCGTAATATTTGTGTTTATTGCCTCCAGTTTGACCCTATTGTGTGTGTCTATGTACTCTGTCACTGTGATAGTTATGTACATGTTTTGAGTTAAACAAATTGTTTAAGAAATTTTTGCTG